TCTATACATTAACAATGTAATTAATTAAATCAGATATACACTTATTTTTTATTATAAATATGAAGTTTTGCTAAAGCTTCAACATTAATATTTTGGTATTTTGATATCTTGTATAAATAACTAATATAATGACAATATGCTCAAAGTTAGAGGCAAATTATCAGTAATTTTTTTTAAATTAGCACTATTTTTAACTATCATCACTTCATCGCCCTAATAAAATAGGATAAATACTTCTGTTATATATGACCTATCAATGTACTCAAAAGTGTACTTCTAAATGAAAAATAAGGAATTCATAAACCTAGTCAAATAGTTGGTATATAACGCAGACATTGTAAAGATTAATTTGGTTCGAATTTGAGATAGCAGCATGACTATATTATTATATATATTACAATCGGAAGTAGAGTAAGAGGTGCCGGAGGCAAATTCACGAATTAGTTTGCGTTATTATAATGCAAAATTAAGCTCCATTAGTAGTTTATAAATAGCGAATTATCTTTAAGGGCTAAACTTCTCAGCAGTTACGAAAACTGAAGAGCATGTTTGAACTAACATGCCGTGAATTTAAACATCGTGTCTTGAATAAGAAAAAGAAAACTAGAAAATGATGCAGCTAAAAGAACTTAAAAAAATTAATGTATCGTTTAAAACATGCCAATATGAACTAAGTAACATCTACCTGGAATAAGAAATTTATAAATAAGATAACACAGGGACCCTATTGTTTAAATAATATGAGAAATATTATTAAATTATCTATTTATTTTATATCATAAACAGTCATAAAGGCTAAATATTTGAAAAAAACCATAAACAACCTTTTGCATAGAAATGTAGATTCCTTCAATTACTTAATCCATTACTTGTTTTCTTCGAATAAATTAAAGGTCATAATCCCATTCATAATCTGAGTTTTGCCAACATCATTATTTGCTCTTATTAGGATAATTTTATTTTTCTTTAATAGTTTATTTTTTGATAATTATTGTAATTATTGCAATCTGGATTTGACGACTTACATCACATAAAGTACCAAACCGAAGACCATATCATAGGGACCGCAGGACTCTGATCTCCAGTCTCCTTTTTACAATCCAATAGTAATAAGTCCAAGATAACCCTCATTCGTTATCCAATACTCCCATTTAATCAAAACTTTGAGTCTTGCTTTTCTAATTAAATGGAAGATATGTTAGCATCATGTGTTTGATAATTTATAAAGCATATAAAATAAAAGCAACTAAACCAACAAACGACAATTATATTTGCTATTGAGATTTGAAATGAATTAAAATATCTCATTAATTATAATATCAGCATATTTATATTTTTAGCAATTATGTTACTCTAACAACTATTTTAAATATTTTAAAATAAAGATTTTAGTCTATTTTTTTTTAACATAATTGTGTATTTAATTAATGTTTTGTAGACTACTATTAGTTGTTCATACTATTCATTTCTATATAATCATAGAAACGCTTTACCAGCCGCTCTATTTAAAATAACTCAATTATGGTTCGTGAGGGGGAGTTTACTTCAGTAATATATGGACATATTAGAGACCAAAAATATAAAGATGCTATTTCTATTTTGAACCAACATTTGCTTGCCCACTCATCCAATCGCGCTGCGCTGTCTCTTCTTGGCTATTGTTTATATCAACTCCAAGATTATGTTAGTGCATCAGACTGTTATGAGCAGTTAGCAAATCTTTATCCAGAAGTAGAAAACTATAAGCTATATTTCGCTAAATCTTTGTATAAGGCCGACTTATTTCAGCCGGCTATGAAGGTTGCTGCTCAGATAGAAGATCCAAACTACCGTGATAAAGTGATCAAATTACAGGCTGCAATTAGATATAAAGAAGAGGATTTTGCTGGAGCCAGAAGCTTAATTGACGAATGTGCTTCAACTGATGTGGATTCTATCATTAATCTTGGGTGTTTATGCTTCTGTGAGAAGAACTATCAACAGGCGTGTGAACTGTTTCAGCAGGCTCAACATGTCAGCTAACTGTTTAAAGTTAAAATGGCCATTTCTTATAATAATATATCTTTTTATATTAAAAAACTTTATCGACTTCGATTTTTCTGTTTATTTGCATTACTTTTATTATTTTTCTCGTAACGTGATTTCATGAAAAAGAGTAAATAGCATGATCTTTTAAAATTATTTTTATACAGCTTACTTATATTTCCCAATTTGGACTCCTATTTTTAGACTAATTTATTTCTTTGTTAATTTTCATCTCTTAGTTTTTTTTCTTATAAGGATAGACAACACGGGATATAACGCACGTTATTAACTTTGGTCAAACTATGCCCTGCAAAGTTTTGCTGACCATTACCATAGTATATTTTATTATATCAATTGTGCTATATTAGACATTATTAGCGATTCAATGGGTTAGTCATCTGATATAATATCCAAGTTTGCTTTGCTTATTTTAGCTAACTTTCCCAGGACTGTCTTGGATAC